CCAAATACATGTATAATCAGTTATTTCATAACACACATCTCAATATTAAATAATCTAACTCTTGACATCCAGTGATCTGATTTGAATAAGAATATACCATTCAATTCGTCTAGTCGAGGTGAATCGAATGGTAATATTTTTATTCAAATCAGATCACTGGACATCGAAATATTGCGTCCTAAAGTAGGAAATTTGTTTTTATATTAAAGTTTATGAACATACAATACTCGATATAGAAGCTCTACCAATCTATAAAAGGTATCATGATCAGCATTTGTAATGTTCTTGTGAAAATTTCAGAACATTACACATGATCTATGGAAAGTTATGGGGGGGGGGGTCCGTTACTTCTGACGAGCACTGTTAAAGCTGCATGCAAACAAGTATTTTAATATATTGATTTGTCAATACTGTATTTTCTGAAAAACAATAGTGAATTCACCTTCATTTGAAGCATACAAACTGATCCTTGCAGAATCTAAATTTTCAAATACACATATAAATCATATTTATAATAGAGTATACCTTTATCATTTGGAATTGAATTGATTTTATAATAAAGACTCGACTAGTGTAAACGGCATTTGGTTAATTTTTTGTTCTTTGTTTCTTTTAGTATATTCTCGTTATCAAGTTTTTCTCATAGTCAAATCCTTTCCATTTCAATAATTTCTTTATGTGTTTTAGGATCTGTAGTACTGAAAATGTAAAGTATTCAGTTTATCTGCCTCCGGGTAGTAATCAAGTAGATAAAATCTAAAAGTTCCTTAGCAGTTGGTCTACTTTCTGGAATAGGGTCCCAACATAATAAATTTGCATTATCCAATAACATTATTTGCTGCTTTGTATATCATGACTTCGCTCACCAAATGGTGGTTTATCTATTACAATCTCGTACATAATCATCCCAAACCTATAAATATCGGCAATTTGAGTGTATGATTTTCCGTTTAACACCTTGGACTAATATAAGGAAGTACTCCGTAAATTTCTCGTTTAGATTTATTTAAGTTAACTGGGTCAGTAAGCCCAAAATCGGCAATTTGAGCATGACCATAAAATAATATGTTTCCAGGGTGAAAGTCACGGTGCATAAGTCTCTTTTCGTGAATTACATTCAGCCCTCTAGTAATCAAAAAGTAATCCAAAAGAGGTTATTTGATTTTTCTTCCCGAGTCAATGTTTTATATTGGGACTTGATATATTTGCGAAGAACGCCGTCTTATGCATCGAATATTCATTTTTTAGTTATTCCATAAGAATTAAAAAATCTGCAATGCAGGTTGCTTTGTGAATTGCTCCAAAACCTCCTTTGCAAGATATTTGACATAGGTAAATCTTTAAAACGGACCCAGTCAAAAGATGTATTAGCTTTCACTCATTCTTTCATTATGTTGATAGTTTCATTCTCGCTAGACAATTCAATTTTATAATTGTTGTTTGTGATCATCGAAACATTTACTACAATGCCAGATAGCTTTGCTTATCTTTGAGTTTCATTTTATGAATATGATTTAAATGGTTATATGTTAATTTATAACTTTGACATAATGGTAAAGCAAATGAGATACAGTTCACGACACTTAAAAATCATCTTTAAAGGACGTGATACAGAAAAGGCGGCCGCATAAATTAGCTTAACTACAAATTTGCGTCTTTTTTCAAAATACTTTTCGTTATATTGATATATGACAATAAAAGACACCCACCTATATGTGCATGTACAATTGATTGTTGATTTTTAAACTTGAAATAAATTTTGAATCACAGATGGAACAAGTCACGTGATTTAAGTTCAAGTTTTTATTTTCCACCGTTATGTTTGTATGAAGGAGTCACTAATCATTTGATGTCTTATAAAATAAAACTTACAACAATTCCTGAATTTCTCAATGGCAAAGTCACACGACCTTTCTAAGTTTCCAATCTTCTATGAATTGGTTCAAATATAACAAGTATGATATTAAAAATGAATAACAAACTAAAGGAGGCCAGATTGCAGCTCTCCATTTCAAATGACCAAGTGTTAAATAGCTTGAAAAATCAAAACCAGGTACCAGTTGACGAAGTTTTGAGTTTTTGGTGCATTGATGCGATCGATTAATTACTAGTAGTTTAGTTTTATTGGCTTTATTTGGATTCTACTACCTAAGTTAAATATTGTTGTTGTGCTCGTAAATTATGAAGATGATGGTAATATCGAAGATCGGGAGGAAATATTACTAAGAGTATTTGAGTAATAGAATAGTCGTTTATGTTTAATAAAACATAACAAATAGCTAAATCAAGTAATAAAAACCCGCCAAAAATCAAATTACTTCGAAATTACCTTTTCGCTAACATGATTTTTTTTTTCGTTTCTCTTTAATTTCTGAATTGTATTGTACCTCAGCTGTCAAAGATCGGCTGATTACGTAACTTGAAAAGCAATATTTTGATTTTTAGATTTATAACATTACATGATTTATTTTTAACAAAGTAATATACTCAATTAGGCTTTTAATTTAAAAAGAATTAAAAACACTACCTAATGGCTTCATATCAGCTTTTTGAATCAATTTGAATTCAATAACAAAATTAAAAAAATGTTTTAGACTATAAATAAGATATGGAAATCCATCTTCTTCAATAACAATTGAAACATGTTCCAAATATAAGTGAGCATAAGCACGGAAAAGACGAAGAAAAATTATTTTGACAATTTTTTGAAATTGTTCAGGATATTCGGATTCTGTTTGTTGTTCACCAAAAAACCAAGATAAATTATTGAAAAATGCATGTTGACGTAAAAACACAACAAAATCTGATTTACCTATTGTACGAGGAAATGTACTCGTGTCTTCTAATTGATCCTTTATCCATGTCATCATACGGTCTACGTAATCTGGAGCAGAGGTAGATTGTTGACTGCTTCCTTCCCAAGTGTATTCAAATCTATAAAATTCAAAATTTTTAGATAAATTTTCAAAGTATTAACCATACTATAGCATTTTTAATGCTTACGCTGAGCCAGCACGCATTTTCGGACAATCTTCATGAGTGCAGGGTGCAAAAGTTCCCCATAGAATGCTCACTTGATTGTAAAACTCAAAACCTATAAAAATTTAAGACAAATAAATTACTATTTTATTTGCTAAACTTTCATTAAATAAATTTAATATTACTGACAGTGTAATGCTAACCAATCATTTAAACTGACACCAGCAGGTAATTTAACAGCAGTTTCAAAAGAATCTGATTCCAACAATTTGGTGGCAGTCTTTTGTAATTCGCGACGTTTAGAATAGTCATCGAATACTTCTAACGGCTTAAAAGGCCTCGCTTCCGGACTTTATAATAAAAGATCAAAATTATTGATGGGTTATTTTAAAAAATTAACAAAGCATCGGAAACATGTTTATACGTGGATTAATTACATTGTGTAAACGCTTATGTCACTCATTCTTGCGTGTTTCTTTGATAATGGGAGTTTTTATTAAAGGCAAGTAAAAGAACTTTGCGTTAATTTATGAAGCTTTGAATAATAAACCCGCAAAAGAAAACAATGTAAAATACAGTGATAATAAGTGTCCGAAGTGCTTCCTTCTTTCTAAACAATCAACAATGTATAATAAATAGTGTTTCGATATGCTTCGGACAAACATCTCATTTTGGCGGAGTTAATGTTTTGTTATGCATGTAATTAAAAACAAAGAACCGTTATACGTAGTTTCACATGAAATGGTACAATATCGATATGGCATTGCATCGTTTTCAATAAGTAATTAAAAAAAGCTTGTTTTAGCCTTTTATAGAACACTATTTTTTCTATGGTGCATGACGATAATGATCTTTCTCGATGTATTTGTATTTGTGTTACAAAAGATACGTATCAAGATCGATATTGAAATGATCTTTTTACAGTAGATATCGATATCGATTTATTTGAAACGTTGAATAATATTCGAGGTGGGTGATGATTATGTTCCACATGCATAAAGATAAAATTATAAAATAATAATTTTGTAGCATATGTTCCTACATTGCTACAATATATATGTAAACAAATAAACAAAAGATAGAAATGTGTAATAATATTATGTTTGCGAAATGTTTTAGAAAGATAGTCTCAACTGGTCCGAGTTATTAGAAATAAAATGTAGCTGAATTTGACATATTAAAAATTTAGTCACGCTTAAATGTTCTAATTTCCTATCTTTCAAAAATAGAAAGCAATGAGACAAATAGGTTTGATCTATTGATTAAGCTAATAAGCATGAAGTATGCTAGTAATGTGGTAGTAATACGAGAGTTGAATAAAAAAAATGCAATTCTTGAATAAAATCCTCAAATTCATTTCAAACTAACATTGTATACCAACTTAAAGTTTCGTCATTTACACACCCCTACAGTCGAGAGAAAATTTATTTTCTTGTTAGTCAATTTTTGAATAGCAGTCTTTATTGAACTTGACTGTGGATTCAGCATTTATCGACGCTATTCGGTGCACTATGTAGATCAAATTTATGAACATATAGTCTCGTATGTATTAATAATTTTTAGTTTTTTTAAAAAGCTCTCTATTGCTTTAAAATAAAATATTTACTAAATATCTGAGCGAAATTTCTAAACAAGTTAATATGTAAATTATTGAGGAGATAAAATTTGAAATATGTCAATTTTTTTTATATAAAATTACAATATTTCAAATTGTATCTTCTCAATAATTTACATATTAACTTGTTTAGAAATTTCGCTCAGATATTTACAAATACTATATTTTAATGTAATAGAGAGCTTTTTTAAAAAACTATAAAAATAATTCCCCAAAGTTCTGATTGATAGAGGATATTAAAAGTTAATTCTAGCGTTAGGATTAAGGGTTAGGTTAGGACTGGAGAAAAGATTGTATGTAAAATTGTCTTCCCGACATTATTTATTAGTGCTTCAAGCCAGGTTTAAGCATTCGTTTTTCTTGTATCGGATTTGTTGATCAAAAATTTATGCATCTTTATTGGTTGATTTAGAAGACTCGGTGTGCAATTAACCAATCAGCAATGGAAATTACTTGTGTCCAATCAGAACTTGGGGAGAAAATTAGTAAACGCTAATAAAGTTATGTATTTCATATAGATTATTCATATACATGTACATGTACATGTACAAAAGTATCGTAATTACGTACACGATAATAAAATTGTTACACAGTTTTCACATTAACGTTAACGTTAATCAAAATTCCTTATCGCTACAGTCGACTTTCGATATAACGATAACAACGTGCAGATTCTATTGAATTTATATTGTTTACAATAGGATCTGCACGTCGTTATATCGAAAATCGACTGTATTACGTATTATCGTCTAAATGAAAGAGTGCAACATTTAGCTGAATTGCAGTATACATGTATTAGAAAACAAAAAATGCATCATACATAATTTAATTTCGTCGTCGTATTCTTTTATTAGACAGTAGATATTTTTATTTCCTCTTAAGATATCGACAGTTTAATAAAGAATATTGTACACAAAAACAATTTGAATGAAAGATTCACTAAAGTTGAATATCTTACCAAAGGTCAATTTATAAAGCAGTATTGCACGATTACAACGGGCGGAATCATGAAGAAAATAAATTTAAACTAGAAGATGAATACAAAGAAGTTGTGTTGAAATCATTACGCAATTCAAAGCAAATTACACTAGAGTTTATAAACGTGATTGAGGCTTTTCGTTTTCCAATACAATCAAATTTTTCAAAAATAGATTCTGACTGCTCTAAAGTGCATTGTAGCTCTTAAATATTATGGAATAACTAAAAAGCCAGCTATAAATGAGTACTCGATAGTAAATATATTCAAAAATTGAATTGGAATAAAAAACTTACATTTATATCTCATTATTGAAAGATTTGTACATCGTGTGGAAACACATTCATACATTAGTATTTTTGAGTTTGGACTTTACCACCCAGCAGATATAAAAAATCTAATTAATAAATTTACGGCTTACGTCCTTACATGATTCCGGGGGGTGTTAAACAACAAGTCATACACTCAAACTGCATTATTGGACCAGCTGCTGAGGAACTTGGCGACTTTACCTACAATATCAACAGGGCGTGGGAACCGAATAATTTGCATTTCCAGTACTACAGCTCCTTAGAATATCCAAAACACATGAAGAATCAAAGAACTTGATAAAAACATTCTTATGAATAAGAACAAAAATAAAAAAATCTACCCGAAAGCAGTTAATTTTTTACTATAAAGTTAAATTTCGATTTCAAATGATACAGGTTCTTTTATTTCTAAATATAAATCATCGAAAATGCTATTTTCACCCAGGTAAAATAACCCGACACATGATTTATGAGGCTTGGTATTGTTACGTGAATCTCGTAATTTATATAAAAGGGAGGGATTTTCCTATAACGGCAATTTATGGGAGAGCAAGAGTTTTTAAACGATAATTAGTGTTGCCTGTGCCGATATCGTATTTCGCGTTGGATTTTAGGTACGTTTATGCTAAGATGTTTTCTTTGTTAATTTCTAAACCTAATTGGGTTTTCTATTATCTATTACGCGTGTCTTTACCAAGATCGATTACCATCGTCGATCTTTTAAACAATGCCTTTCTGGATCAAGGTCCTAACCGTCCGTCAATCAATTCAATCAATTATTACGAGGGAATTTTACAAGTCTTTTTTTACTTGGAGAACAACAATTCTGAGTTTTATTGAGGCCCGTAGACTTTTATTATATACGTTTTACATTGTAGCATTATTTTTCTATAAGTCTACGATTAAGTAAGATTAAACAAAAAGAAAAGAAAATACAATTCAGAGAGGACATTAAAAGCATTGTTTAAGAAAGAATGTAAGATATCATTAAGGGTTTTATTTAAGAGAGAGAGATCATAACAATTAAAAAGAAAATGCATTGTCTATGAGACAATGCAAGATATAATTACTAACATTGTTTGGGAGATTCGTTTTAAAAGAAAGAATATGCGAGATATCGATATAAATATGGGTTTTTGTTTGAGAGAACAGAAGAGAGAACATTGGACCTATAATGCGGCCCAAAACTGATCCTACCAAAATTAAGAGGATCGTCGAAGTGTTACGAGTGTAACAATATGCAAATCGACATGCATACGGCATAACGATAACGATAACTTTATCGTGGAAGAAACGAATAAATGGTAAGCATTTTTTGAGCTTAGATTTAAATCGCTATGTATCCAATTTTCCGCTGGAATCATCAAATCAGTGTCGTCAGAATCTGCAGCTTGAGAGATTCCCTTTTCCCAAAGGTCAATTTCGTTTAAATTTAGGTCGTCACATTTAAGTAAACACACTAGAGCTGATTCATGTAAAATCAGTTGATTGAAAAATAGCAGCTGGATTTTGACATGCGACATCTGTATAAATTTGTGAAGCTTAAAAAAGTTATGCTCGAATACAATTTGATTGATTAAGGCAAAACTCTCTATCTTCTTGAATATCAGTCTAAATCTTTGACAAAGTCAGCGGTTTAATGCTCAGACTGACCGGACTACGAACCAGTTTCAAATGAGATACAGTGCGGGACATCATAAACCAGAATCCCCAAATGAATTTTCTTTAATTATTATTGGCTATTCAATTTTTAATAAAAAAATATTTTAGCCAAATATTCTTCTTTGACATACAATAGTTATAATTTAGCTAAAACAAACCTTCAAAATATTCATTCAGTTAAACACATTTTTATAAGTTTTAATATTGCGGGCAAAGAAATAATTGTGGCTGAATGTCTGGGCACGTGATACACAAATCAGATGCATTAGATTAATTCTGGAAACACTATAGTATAAGAAATTAGAACAATATTGGTCAGAATTAATCTAGTCCAACTTGTAATGTTGCATTATCCTAGTGCTAGCCAGAATCATGATAATGAAATACATACAACATGTAATATTTCTATAAATTATTTTCTGAAGGGAGCAATCTATGTCATGTGACACTGCAGATTTTGCCGCTCGTATTGAGAGGTGTTGACCCGCACTCTATGAGAAATAGCCACCTAACAACTCCAAGGATTGACATCGAAATGCCGTCAAAGTCCTTTACAACGGCGGCGCTTTATACATCGGATTCGGTTTCTATTGTATTGATATCCCGATTTTAACTATTAAAAACTCCCTATATACCGAAGTTTAATGATATAAGCACTATATACCGGCCCAAAAGTGCCAATCCAATTGCGGCTGTTGTAAAGGACTTTGACTTTATATCAAAAATCAATGCCGAAAATCGATGCTGAATTACATGACGAAATTCACGTTTCAATGCCATGAGGTTACGTATGCAAGAATATTTGATACACCAAAAATCAATGCTAAAATCGACGACGCACAGGAATTCGTCATCGAACTACACAATAAAAATGAAATTACGTAGGTTGCTATCGGTTC